GCAGCAGCAGCAGCAGCAGCAGCAGCAGCAAGCAGCGCTGGTGGTCCTGCTGGGACTGCTTGCCTCTTTCAGCGGGATTAGCAGAAGTGGGGCCCCTGCTGCTAGCCACAGGGGGGCCCCTGTGGCTAGCAGCAGCAGCCAGGGGGGGCCCCCCGTGGGTAGCAGCGGCAGCGGGCAAGGGGGCCCCTGGGGGTAGAAGCAGCAAATACTGAGTGCTGCTGCTGCAGCAGCAGCAGAAAGGGCCCCCAAGTTCAACTTGGGGCCTCTCGCTTTTGTCTTAACAGCAAATGATTGCAGCAAATGAAAAGCTGTTTAAAAAAAAGGTTTTCTTGAGGATGAGGTGGAATTTATTCTTTTCTTTTTTTTATGACGTTTTCCCCTTTTTAATTCCTTTTCTTTTTGTGGCTTTTTTCCTCCGTTTTTGTCTCCTCGTCCTTCATTTTTGTCTTTTCTTTTCTCCCTTTTTATCTGCTCTTTTCTCACTTTTTATTTTTCTTTTTTCTTTGTTTGTTTTTACAATGAAATATCCTTTGGCCTCCCAAAAGTAAATTTGAGAACTATTTTGACTTGGGCAAGAACTAATTTGTGCAGCTATCTTTCAAGCATAAACTTGAAGTCTAAAAACAAAAGCGAAAACTAATTCCTTTAATTTTAAATTCCATTTAAAGTAATTTGCAAAACTCGAAAAGACACTTTGTAGGCAGCAGCGCGAGGCCACGCCAAAAAGCTTTGAGTTTAACAAACAAAACTAAACAGTAGAATAATAAAATAAATTTAAAAAAATGAAAGACTTGAAAAGAATTTTGCAGACAGCAGCACGAGTCGAAGAAACAAAACAAAAAAGGAAGAGAACAAAAACAATTAAAAAAAACTTCCGAAACTTGAAAAGCCACTTTCAAGCAGCAGCGGGAGGCCAAGAAACAAAAGTGGAATTGAACGTAACAGAAGCAATTAAAAAAGAAGATAATAAAGACAATTAAAAAGGAAAATAGTGAAATAAATTGAGAAGAAATTGCAAAACTTGAAAAGATATTTTGCAAGCAGCAGCGCGAAGCCAGGGGTGTGTAGCTCAATGGTAGAGCGGCTGACTGCAGATCAGCAGGTTCATGGTTCAATTCCGTGCGCGCCCTTCTCGAAATGTCGCTGCAAAGATTTGCAAATTCACAAAAGTTGGAACCAGAAAAGCACCTTCTTGCTGCTCTCCAGCTGCTTCTGCTGCTGCTGCTGCAACCCCCACACACAGCTTTCTAGAAAAGGCTTTTAAACCTTTTCCAGAGGAGAAAATGCATGCATGCAGAAAACGCATGCATGCATGCATGCATGCAGCTGCTACCGCAGCCCCATTTTCTAGCTAGCTAGTAGCCCTTTTTACTGTTTCAAAATCCCCGAAATGGAAAAGAAGTGTAATTGCCAGCTAGCTGCCTCACAAAAGGACACTAAGGTCATTTTCCACAAACCTCACAGTTCAATGCGCTTCAAGTTTATTCAAAAAAGTCATTAGATAGAATTTAGCACATGCGCTGTGGCTCCAAATTGCTGCTGCAGCAGCAGCTAGCTGGTGCCCAGCTGCAGCCGACTCTTGCTGCTCTCACCTTGGAGGGTTTTTCCCAAAGATATTCGTCCTAAGAAGTCCGCCAGGACTTGCAGTTGCTGCAAATGACTAGCTGCTGCAACTGGCTAGCTGCTACCAATGGCTAGCTGCTGCAAATGGCTAGCTAGCGCGCTGGGCTCCCAGCTAGCCATTTTTACTTTTTGCACAAACAGCCAACACACCTCCGCTGGCCCCCCGCTGGCCCACGGGTGTGTAGCTCAATGGTAGAGCGGCTGACTGCAGATCAGCAGGTTCATGGTTCAATTCCGTGCGCGCCCTGTTGCTTCCCTTTTGCTGCTGCAGCCCTCTTTACTTGCTGAGATTCAGAACCTGTTGCAGCAGAATGCTCCTTTTTAGCGCCTCTTAGCGTCTATTTGTCACTTTATTACTTCAATAAACCTCTACTGAGGCTGTTTTAATTGATATTAGATCCTTATTTGAAGTAACAGCTCACAAACAGCGTCTGGTCTTGTTACTTGTTGCTGAACATTGACTCAGTGTTCAGTTTTCTAAAATGCTATTATGCACTTGGTGCCACCTTGTTGTTGTTGCAAATGCGCACCTCCAAACATTGCATGCATGCTGCTGGTTTTGCTCGTTTTTATTTCGTTTTTATTTTGTTTTTATTTCGTTCAGAGATTGACAGCTATTTTCGAAAGTTTCGATTCGTCTTTGGCACACTTGCACTTCTACCTGGGCCACAGAAAAGCTTTGAGGAAAGGAAAAGAGTAAACAGATTTGTTAGTCTAAGTCGGATCTTTTGGAAAAAGAAAGAAGTTTCGATGGAACTGAAGAAAACAAAACCAGCTGAGTGGTTGGGCGCCTGCTGGTGGCTGTGGCTTTCCCGCGAGACGACTGTGCCTGCGCAGTGAGATCAGCTGCTGCGCTTCGCAGCTGCATTCCCTTTAGAATTTCTTTTTTATTAAACTATAATGCAACTTAAGTACACAATTGAGTCTGCGACTTGGCTAAGGCCGCTGAGCACTGATCAACTCGCAGAAACCTCCCGTCTCCCATCTTCATTTCGAACAACGCCGGGTCTTGTTCTGCTTTAGAGGTGCAGTTGCGTCTTCGGAAAGTCAGCAGCGGCACATAAGTAAAAAAATGGATCAAATCAAACAGTGTGGCGAGATATGAAGTCAACGAAACGCTCTGACACAATACGCAAGACAGCAGCATCCACCACACGCATGCGGCTTGCAACTGCGTACTGCTAATTCCCTTACTTCCCCCCGCACTGCATGCAGTGCTGGCAACAAATAAAGAGGCCAAGGTGAAAGCAGAACCAAGAAAATAGAAACAGCAGCAGCAGCAGCAGAAGACCGGGAAAAACAAAGCGGCTGCACCAGCAGACCCGCAGCGGCAGCAGCAGGCCGATAGAAACAAAACGGTTGCACCGGCAAACCCGCAGCAGCAGCAGCAGCAGAATGCACAGCGGGAAGAATTCGACTTTGCACGAAACTTGGTGCATGCAAATGCATGCAAAGCCTTACGGGCATACAGTGAAGGGTTGACACAAGATGCTCCTGCAGTGCTTCCCGTCCTGCAGTCCACAGAACTCTACTAAGACACCCCGACGCCATTTTTGCTGTTCATTCTTCTTGAAAAGTGAAATCTAGTGGAACCTCTATTCATTCTTTCATCTTTTTGGCGTTTCTGTACTGTCTTGAAAGCCAAGTGTTTGGCTGCGGGGGGTAAAAGACTGGAGCCTTACTGGAGGACCCGAGCAACATGCTCGAGTTTCTTCTTAGCTGTCCAGTGAGTCAAAATGTCAATGATGCCCACGTAGTACAGCTTTGTGCGGTCAGTGCTCTGCATGCCGCCGAGGTCTCTGCTCCAGAAAGGCCTTTCGAAGTCTGTTCGAGCAGCAGCGGAACAAACAACAAAACACGAATTTCGTCGCAACTCCGCGCCAAATTAACTCAAAAATCACCAAAAAAGCGTAAAAGTAATGCTCACCAGTCCCGCCACCGATAGATGAAGAAGAGTTCATCAACCTGCACAAGTAAACTCACCACCCACCGTGAGCCAAGTCTCCGCGGCAATATCAAAGCCACGAACAAAAAGCTCCGTGGGAGCTTGACACGCAGTCAAAATGGCACTTGAATGATGCAAAACAAAGAAGAATACATATTAATGCCTTCAAATATGCTGAAGCAACGGGCCACTGGCCTGACTTACGCCACGAGGATTAGCTGGGTGAGTGAACAGCTCCAAGAAGTGCGCAGACATACATTAATGCAAGGACAGAGTCCTTTAAACCTTTAGAAAAATGATTTGATAAAAAACAACATCAAACACTCACGTAGACTGAGACGCGCGAATCTCTTCGTCATTCAGGAGGAAGCCGTTCTGGCAGACGTTGGAATCTAGCGAAAAGTCAAAAGCAGGAAAGCACATAATCGCCCCTCTAAACCACTCATAAGTAAAGACATTTAGCAAGCTGCTGCAGCGAAAATGCTGCAACAGGATATCTGCTAGCTAATAGTAAGTCTTCCAGTGCTCTAATGTGTATTGTAACTTTCTGAAGTTGTATCAGTGCAATGGGCGGCCCCTTGGAGGGCGGGTGTTGCTGGGGCTGCAGCAGCCAACCAAATGGCCAAGACAAACCTTGTGAACAACTTGCATAGGAAATCCCTAGCAATAATGAGTAGTCCATGATTCCGTGGTCTCTTAGAAACGCCGCGTCAATTGTCAGCTGCTCGATAAACATTTTCTTCCGCTCTTGTCCAATTTCTATCTGTACAGAAGTAGCAAAGCCCATATCGAAGAAGATCAAATATCAACTAGGGAAAACTCAGCAATTGAAATGCAGACTGGTTCAAGAATGCGTGAAACGAAAGATAAGGAGTCTGACTGCATGCAGTTGGTTCCACTTCGAAGCCCCTCACCCCAACGGAAAGTACTGCGTACCATCTCTCCATCTCGCGCCATATCATTGTCCTTTCTCGCCACTGTTGGGTCACTGTTCACAAACCTCTCCAGAAAACAAACTATTACCTTAATCTTAAAGGCACTGTGAAAACTAGCTTGCCTAAAATACCCCCTTCAACTGCTGCCACTTCAGACAGCCACAAACCTGCGAAGCTCTGGGGGGAGCGACCGGCCCTGTGTGGAGCCCTTGAGGTCGTAGCGGCGGTGGATTTCTACTGGGGTGTGGAAGAAGTTCTCCATCACCATGAAGTACGTTTTGCGCCTCCACGGCTCTGCATGCAAGGGCCGCCAATTAGGAAGTGCAGCAGATATCACAGCTTTTCAAAACAAATAAAACAAGACCACCAGCGCTCACAGCAGCCCCAACCAGCCCACCCTTGCCTCCCAGAATCTGCCCAGATTTGTCTTTCAAACGGATCGCGTGAAGTCCACAGAGCCGCGTCAGCATCGTGTTGGAGCAAGTTGAGACGTGCTTGTAGTAGTCAAACAGAACAGACCGCATGAAAAATGCCGTTTCCTTCGACACCTGATGAACACGCAAGTGCAGCACCGAAATTTCCCGGAAACACTGCAACAGCAGCTCATAAATACTCTCTGAATACTATTGTTTCAAAAGAAAGCCGCAAACTGTTCGCAGCGCTCTCCACCAAATGGCGCCCACAGTTTTGATCATAAATCTGCCGTCGGTGGTGTAATAGAAGAGAGAACCGCTCTTGCCCTCCGAGACCAATTCGGAAAGCGACGACAAATTTCCTGCAAACAAGTTGCGACTGTCAAGAGCCTGTCAATTAAAATGTTTTGCATTCTTCTCCTCATCCGAAAACTTGAACGACTGAAGCCTCAAGAAGCAGCCGTGAATGCCTACCTAAAATCAAATTGCCAAGCAGCTGCTCGGGTCCTACAGATCTGATGTAAAGAAGAGAATCAATGCCAAATATGGCGCGGAGGCGGCGAAAGACCATCGGGGCGTAGTCAATGAATCGGACCGCGCACTGCAGCAACAAAAAAGAAATGCTAAACAGTTCTACACAAACCGCTTTCCCTCTGTCTCAGGTTCATCATGCTGCTCCCCCAGTCTGATCTTCATAATCATTAGCCTTTTCTTGTCCAAACAACTTTGCCATAAAGCTCACTAGAGGTGGCTTTCGGCGCTGCCTGTCCAGCATGCCAGTCTTGGGCAGCACTGAAAACTTTTCCTTCATCAAGAAGTCGTAGGGCTCGACAGCTCGGTGAGGTTCACTCATTGCGCGGCTCCCAGCCAGACGAATGCCGACCATTATGTTGATGACCATGTTCCACGACTCATGTCCGAAGTGAACTACAAAGCCCTTCGTGTCTTTGCCCCCCGCTCTGTTTACAGCCACACACAAATACTGGTATCAGTAATCACGCCTGTGCATGCAGCACCTGCTGCTGCTCCTCATTCAAATACAGGTGGAAGTAAGCACGCCTGTGCATGCAGCACCTGTTGCTGCTCCTCCACGACGCGGAATGGCGCAGCTGAGATGACTTACTTCGAGGGCTCCAAGTCGTTTTCGTCTCCCCCATGTATGGTGTCGCCTGAGGCGCGGCGCCACTGTGTAGCTGCGGTGCCGCATGCAAGAAATATTAAACGCATTCAATAAAGTTCCACGCGGTAAAAGAGAAATCAGAGGGGGAAACATGGTAAATTGACGCGTCTAAACGCAAGCTAATATATACGAATCGCGAGATTGACGGGGCAACTTCGGCCTTCTCAAAGCTCATACGTGCAAAGTACTACGCAGCCTCATTTTCAAGTTCATTAGTAAAAATGAAGTTTAGAATCGGCAGATGTCTCTGGACTTATACTGCGCACTTCGGCGTTGGTAAACTTTGGCCCGATTCATGTACATGCGTCTGGTGCCAGCGCCTGGCCGGCGGCGGCTGCGGCAGCAGCATAAACACAAAATGGAAACAGCAGGCATTGGGCATATATGTTTAAACCTGAGCTATATATTCCACTACATTAAGTTAACTAAGACGCGATGTTCAGTTATGAGCTTTTCTTCAGGTAGATGCGCTCAGATCTGAAGTCCTTGAGGGATATTTAGGTGCTCAGGGTTCACCTATCCAAAACGCTGACTGTTGCGAGACTTGAATTGGCGACTTTCTGCACGCCCATCAACCAGAAATGTGTAGACACTTTCAAAGACACGACAAAAAGCCAAATCGAGTTGCAAAACAAACCTACAACTGCAACAGTGAGTCCGAAATCTTGCGGAATCAAGCTGGCACAGCTCACATGCTCGTCCACTTCATCCGCGGCGAAGTCCTTCAGGGGAAAATGAGCGGTGTTGGAGACCCTCACAGAGTACATGTCAGGGTTTTCCTGGAAGCAGCTTACTGCGGAAGTAAGCACAAAAGCACAAGCCCTTGTTTTTCACTAGAGTGGCTGAAGAGCAACTGCACGGGTGAAAGGATCACACAGCAAACAGTTCTTCCCCGCTACATGCCCACAATTCCTACTTCCCAAACTAAGCTGCTAGACAGATAAAACAAAGCAAATAAAAAGAAGCCCCGCCAAAAATTCAGTTTCTGGGCCAGCCCACGTCCCGGCCAGCCAGCCGAGCAGCAGTCGAGGCTGGCTCACTTGTGTCTGGAAAAGAGCTGCTCTCCTCGCACTTGACCATGAAGGAAACTCTTTGTCGTCTCGGCGCCTCCGGCACCTGCGCTGCAACGCTGTTTGTTCGGGTGTCTTCCAGCGCCTCCGGAGTTTGCTGCTCTCCCGCCGTTTTCAGAGAAAATATCGGACGCCGCACGCGAGTTGTCGGCTCTCGTTGGAAAGCAGGTCCCCCACTTTTGGTGGGTTCTTGCTGCATGGCGTCTGCTGCTTCCTTGCTGTTCATATCCACGAGAAGCTGGTCAGCGATGTGCATTGGCTGGTAAATAGCCACCGTGCTCTCCTCCAAAATGCGATTTAGCTGCTGCTCCGCCTGCTGCAGTGCAGCAAACGCTGCCGCAGCAGCAGCCGTTGCTGCCTCCTTCGTCGCATCCGCTGTCTCCGGCGATTTATCAAGGCGTTGTAGAATGACACTGGGCCCTGCAGCCGCCGCACAGCAACACAAAGTGCTGCAAGGCATGCTGCAGGGTCTGAAAGGCTTCGGCTAGTCGAAAACAAACAGTGAAAGAATCATGGGGGCCCTGACTGCAGCAGCAATCCCGAAGCGGGCTGCTGTACGGACCTTGTGATTGCGTTTTCCTCGGAAGCATATAATTTGCTGCCGCTTTGTTCGCAACCTCATTCCCTCGATTGGACTGCACCAAATAAACAGAGTGGCAAACAGGGCGATCAATATTCAAAGCACAAAGAACAACAAAAAGCAAATCTGCAAAGGGGAAAAGAGCGCAAAGGGAACAAGAGGGGGGGTTCTGTAGTGCGCAGCACCCAGATCACGTGCATGCTGACTGGTTAAGGATCACACATGTCAGGGAGTCAGAAACAGCAGTTAAGCAGATATGTTGAGGGGCTCACTAAAGCTCTTTCGTGGTCACCGCGAATAGGACTGCTGGTCAAACGGCCAAACATTGCGCCATCGTCGCAAGGAAAAGAACGCCCCCCTTCTCGAATCATTTCCAAGGACTCCACGGGAACTGGAGGCACGCCCTTTGCAGCCAAAGCGGTCTTCACCGCCTCGACGTCGCGCTCCACAGCCCGAAGACTCTCAGCCAGCTGCTGGAGCTGCTCTCTCTGCTGCTGCTGCAGCTTCCACTGGTGGCGCTCGGCCTGAGCCTCCGCCTGGCGGACACGGCGCACCAGCTCTATCCGCAGAGCAGAACTGGCCTCTGAAGGCGCTGGCGGATTTCCTCCAACACATGGAGCCGCGGTGCCATCCCCGGAGAAAACGCTGTTCTTCTTTTCCGACTTCGTCGTGACCGATGCCTCTGTGCCACAGTTATTACGCAGACACACGAACACACTGACGCCACTGCGGCCTCTTGTTTTCATATTGCTGAGAGTCAAAACACCCACAAATAATATTGCTTCAGTTCTGATAGAAAGTTGCACCGGATTTGCACGGAAAACTGTTGCTGCTCCGGACTTCTCCCAAGAACTGACCAGACTCGCACGACGGGGTGGAAACGTTGTTGCAAGCGACCCCCAGAAGGCACAGGAAACGCGGGCTGGTGTGGACAGCTTTCTTGAAGTCCCTCAGCATCATTCGCCGCGAGCCGTCGGGCATTTCCGAAGCAAGCGGCAGAAACGTCATTGCGATCTCTTCGTCTGAAGCCAGGATGCCATCCCCCCCCAACAAGGCGCGGCGAGAAGCCTGGAGGCACCTGACCAGATCTACGAACTCGTCCAGCCCCAGACTGTCCGCGTAAATCACGCTGCGGTAGATTTCAAACCAGCGCATCGCCCGCGGCAGGCGCACGGACTGCGTGGAAGTTAGCCCGCGAAGTGCTGACGCTTCCCTGCCTTTTTCTCCGGAAAGGAAGTCCTTCCCCTTCGGCTTGGCTAGCGATCGCAGCTGGTTGCCCGCCTCACGAAGTTGTCTTCGCGAATCCACAGAACAGCGACGCTCATCTTGGCTGTAGGGCGGCCCGCCGCCTGAAGCTGCCGGCCCACTCAACGCCTGCCGAGGCGGCGACGCGCGGATGGACTCTTCTGAATCTGAAGTGCTCACGGAGTGGCACCGGTAGTCTTCAAGGCACTCCCCCGTTCCCGTGTAGCTTCACAAACACAAAAACAAAAAATTATTCGCAAAACCGCTTTTGACGCGCCCTGTTGCTGTGAAACATTTGCAGGAGTTCAGGCAACTACGTCGGTACTTGCTTCAGAGCCCCCTAATTTCTCGAGGCCGACGCAAGCTTGGCAATGCACAAGAAATACGCAAAACCACTGCTATTCTCATAAACGAAAACATCAAATGAGGGAGAAAGACGCACGTTGGATTCAAAATTCGAAACGAAAGGTTCAGCTTCTGGTCGTCGGTTCCGCGCATCATGACGCCCAAAGCGGTGGCGAACTCCGTGAAGCTCAGCTGACAAAGTGACAAGAAATGCACATGCTTAATAGCAGCATTGAAGTCCGGCTGAGAGCCGCAAGTGGCAAATTCAATGATTCTACCAGTCCGATTGTTTCAGCGCGAGCCTCTTGCATCTAACAAGACAAGTGTTTGTCTCATGAGCCTTCTGTCCGACAATTCTTATTCACCACCTCCTTCTGCGAGTGACAGCTGTTTAACTTGCAAGCCGGAACTAATGTGTTGGCTTAATTCGTCGCACCTCTCGGTCCTTGTTCTGATCAAAAGCTCGGAACATCCGCTCTGCAATCATCGTGTCGTCCAGCATTCCCAACACTCCCAAGGTGTCGCAAAACCGAGAGAATAGCAGGCGGCCGTCCGGAGCATACTTGCGAAACCTGAAAAGATACATAGCGGCAAAAAAGTTGAAGTGTAACAGGACAAAAGGGTTTACTGCAGAGCCATCAATCGGAGTAGCATTCCTCGATCTTTCAGAAAGATCAAGCACCAATTATGTTCATCCAGCGGTAAGCACAACAAGGAAAGGAAATATGGCACAAGATGTAGGGCGTGGAGCCATACGAACAGCTCCGTAAACAGGAATCTGACGGCGCTCACTGCCCTAAGCTTCTGCAGTGTCAGCTTGTATGGGAAAACGACTAACATCGAAATGTCACCGAACGAACTTTGGTAAACGCTCTAGAGCTCTGCAACAGCATGTGCATGCAAGAACTTCGTGAGAATCCTTGCTGCACACACCTGTCGTACAAGCCCTGAATTTCCTTGCGCGTGAGAAGTGTGCTTCGCTGGATCTCGTCCGCCATGTCCGCCGGCACGCGAGACGGAAGCCGTTCGCTCTCCGCGGCTCTCCCCCCACAGCATTTGCCAAAGCGCGACATTTGGGGGGCCCCAGAGGCGAGGGTCAGGGGAGAAGAACCGGGGCCCTGCTCGGGCTGGACTCTGCAGGGCAAAAAGAGCGCGGTGGCCCGAATGAGGAAAGAGGAAAGGAAAGATTACGGACCCTGCAGAGCCGACGCCTGTCGCACAGCTGCAGTCCGCTGAGTGCCCTAAGCAGGCGCATCCTCAGAAGGAGAGCGCATGCAGAAGGGTGAAGTGATGCGAAAATGAAAAAGTAAAGGCATGTGCTCCCGGGCTTGCGCTACAGACACACGCAGAACACGCTCTTCCACGCATGCCGACTTCCATAGGCCACGCTGCCGCCCCTCCGCTAGGCAACTGGGGGCCACTCCGCCGCAAGAAAGAGGCACGTGGGCTGAACCAGCTGTGGCTTATAGAATAGAAAGCAGGACGCGATATTCGCGCTTTTGCTCCAGCCACCGCTGGAGAGCACGCGGACCCTTGAGCTGGAGTCCACTGCGATTCAAGACATGTTTCGACTGGCAAGGGGGGAGAGCAGCGCAGTGGTCCTTCCTCGCCTGCTGGCCTCAGGCTGTATAGAAGGTCCAAATCAGGCTCTTACTGCATTTGTAGCGCATTGCTGGCTACAGGCTGGTTCAAACAAACCATGAGAACACGTGGAGGAATTCGGTCGAAGAGAGGCAGCGGAGGACAGTTAAAAACACAATTCGAGTAAAACAAATGCGAAGAAACGCAGTGATGCGCGTAACACAGGGGATATGGAGTAAAGGCAAGGAAAATGAGAAAGGTTTCGTTGCCAATGGCTTGAAGCAGCGGATGTCCAGTGGGTCGGCAGTTCGCCAGTCCCCTCACTTGATTCTTTCGGGGGTCAAACGATGCTCAAAACTTCCCCCAACTATAAAAAAGCTAAAGTGGACTGAAAAGAGTTCAAGCATTTCGCTGTTCTCTGCGTCTGTGGGCCACGACTCGCATGCCCACACCAAGGCCCCGACCGCTGTGCCTTTGGCCGCCAGTTTGAGCTCTGTGGAACAGACCAGCCTACTAGTAATGGCGGATTTAGGAAGCCGATTCATGACTCATTGAAACAGCTAGTTTGAGGCTCTTGGAGAGCATTGCCGCAAAAGACATTGCACAGTCTGACCCCCAAAGCTACTGCTCGCACTTTTCAACCCAACGGTTCCCTTCTACAGTGCCTCAGCATGATATGATTATCCTTTTGCTACTTTTGCAGCTCGTCAGAACAAATACGCCATTAAAACAAAGAGATTTGCGCACATGCAACGCACGGAGGCATGCGCCCCCTCCTCGCAGCATGATGGCGACAGGCAAGGAGCTGGAGAATGATTACACTGCCATTTACAGATCCCAGAAAAATATTAGATCATTACTTCTAAAGAGAACAGAAAAAGTTGTGGTCACTTTGCCACCCAATGTGTCGTCGGTGTGCGGCGCAGGGAACGGCTGGTCTGGGCGTATGAGATATTGAAGGTTCACGCTTCTTCTGCGGATGGACCAGTAACTCAGGCATCAACAAACTATTAATTTTGTTCTACTTCGTGTTTGTAGACTGCCGCTGTGTTTCTTCGCTCCTCCCTAGGGCTGAGGAGCCAGTCCCTGACACCAGAGGGCTCGCCCTACCTGCAAAACTGTAGATCACTCCGGGCAGTTCAAACGACAGGAGCCAAGCGCAGGCCTCTGTCGTTGCGCCAGAGCTACCAGCATTCAGATGCAGCTGCTGTAGCTCAACGGGAGTGAACTCCCCGAAGGGTGCAACCGCCAGGACAAATTCTTTGCGGGCTTGCACACGGACGCAGCGATACGCCGCATTGCCACGAAATTCTGCCTTTAGTGGTACGCACGTAGTTTCTAATAAACTAAGTTCGTAAGGCTGCATTGTGCAAATGTAGCCTTCGACATGCGAAGCTATGTCTAGCGGCTACGCGAGGCCAGCCGACACGTTTCAGAAAATCCCTACCCTAAAGTAAGGAGGCTGTGAGCCTGTGTTCCAGAACCTGCGCGGCGATGAAATATAATATCCTCTATTCTGTTCAAGTATTTGGTGGGTGCTCCCGGCAAGTTCTAGCTGGCATCCACCGCGGCGGTGACATATACTATTCTCTATTCCTTTCAAGCATTTGGTGGATGCTCCTGGCAAGTTCAAGCTGGCATCCACCGCGGTTTGCAGCGTCAAGCAGCGCTCACCATAATGTGTGGAGGGGCGCCTAGATGCCGCTGCACTCAGACGCCATTCGTGCCCTGCCCGCAACTATCGTCCGGTGTTTGCGAACAGATCCACCTGAACTAGTGAGCCGGCTGGCCACCGAGGCCCGCCATGCAACATGGCGTAGCTGTGTTTACTTAGAAGTGCATGAGCAGTGACAGAATTACATTTCCTGCGCCGAAGAGGCTATAATAACACGCCCAGCACATGGGATCTCGCAAAGTCCCGTTCACTCCGGCAACTGAAGGAACCACATTCGCTCCACACCACGTTCGTCAACTTACTGTCCGCAGCCTAAGACGCAGCTGGGCCTCGACACAGCAGATGGACTTACGAGACGCGGAGCTCACCGTGCCCACAGCCATGTAACAGCACACCGGGAGCTGCTTCCACTAACCAGTTTGCAGCCAAGCTCAACACGGACTACCGAAGGGCGCAACGGCCGCTGCGTGCAGACGCTGCTGCAGACGACCTGTGTAACTCGGTCAAGCAGAATGGATCGAGCACGAGCTTACGTACAGTACGTAGACAAATACGTATGTGCTTTTGCGCAAGCTTGTAAAACCTTGAGGTAGCTGACAGGTGCTGGAGGCTCCCCAGGTTCCGTTTTTAACCTGCCTTACGCCGTTTAGCGCGTGTCTGTTAAGATTTGGAGGGTGAACCTTTGCAGTTTTCCTGAAAAACCAGCGTAACTAAAGCCTGCCTGTAGGTTTTACTCAGAGACGCATAAAAGCATGCCTACTCAATGCCGACCTCGAAAATAGGAAGAACTTCGTTCACTATGTAGTGTTGTCCCGACGCTATCTGTTGGTTCTGAAGGAAAGCTTGATAGGTAAAGATGTCGAGATTTCACAGGGCAATCTGCACAGCCAGCCAGCAGGATCACAGCTAGGCTCAAGAAATGCAGCAAGCAAACGGGAGAGCTTAAACATCGGGCCAAAAGGCGCCACCGCGGAGGTGAAGTAAATTTGCAGCCGTTCACAAGCAAGCTGTTTAACAGATCTAAAAACATTAAAGGAGCACTCTGCTCTACACTGGCCTGCCTGCACTTCCTTTCCCCTGCTTGCTCCGCTCTGTCCTGCACAGACTTCCATAGGGCGCATCATCAAAAGAGAATTGCTTTGCAGCGCTACCCTGCGGGATGACCCCGAGCAGAGGGGAAACTGCAAGAATAGTGCGTCAAGTGAAGGCGCTAGCTACAGAGGCTTCAATGCTGCTCCTCGGAAGTGAGGGGTGAACACGTCACGCGGAGCTGCCGCTGCTGTTGTTGCCAGTATTTGTGCTGCTGTTGCCGCACACGGCATTGATCATGGCGTCCGTCGCGAACTCCGCGTGTATTTGGCGGCCCCCGAAGAATCTGCCGTTGAGTGCGTTCTGGGCCGCCAGAGCCACTGAAGGAGCTGTGAATTTAACAAAGACCCTTCCCTCCTCATCCTTCTCACTGAGAGAAACCTGCACGACCGAGCCGTGCTTCCCGCACTCCTCTCTCACGTCATCCCGGATATCTTCGAAGTAATATTCGTCATCCGCAGCACTTGGGTTGAACATCCCCCTTAGCACAAGATTCGAAGTCATCACTCCCGGCGCCAACCCCCCCACTCGAGGTCCGCTTGAACTGCGCAAGAACTGTTGCTAAAAACAGACAGGCAAACAGCAGGCAACACACAACAACGCAAAACCCCAGCCACTACATAAATCGTCCACAAAAAGATAGCTACAGTGAGCCTCTACCTTCGAATGCAAAGGTTTCCTTAGAAGCTGCACTGCTTACCTTGTCTGTAGACGGAGAGGCCTGCACATGCTGCTGCTGCTGCGACTGCTGCTGGGAGTCGCTGGCGGTGGAGGCAGAGGTGCGCGCGCCACCGGTGGAGGCGAGCGCCGCAGTGGATCTGTCCATCAGTTTTTGCATAAGTGCTTGTTTGCGGGACGGGTCGTGAATGTATCCGATGTCATCATCATCGAGGCCTCCTTCATCGTCGCCGTCCTGCGCCTGATTCGCGCCGTCCTGCGCTGCCTGTGGCTGCTGCTGCCGCATGAGGCTGGCCGCCTTTTCAGCTAGCTGCTTCGCTAGCTGGGCTTCGTACGAAACTTGTGTTGCTGCAACAACATGAGGGGGGATCCCTGGGCCCCCCAGCATCCCCGGCATTCCCTGGGGCACTGCAATCCCTCCTGGAGGCGTGGTGGGCGAGCCCTCCGGGAGAGAGCCTGAAAGCCGCACGCCGTCTGCTGCGTATCCTACCCTGAGTTCCTGTCCGTCGAGTTTGAACTTGTGCATTTGCTGCATGGCATCGTGGGCGTCGCCGGTGGCGGAGAACATGATGAAGGCGAAGCCGACGCCTTCCCCCGTGTTCAGGTCCGTGGGAATGAGGATTTCTTGAATAGCGCCGAAGGGAGAAAAGAGCGCGTGCAGATCGTCTTTGGTCAAACTCGCGAGGTTCCCCACCAGCCCGCCGACGTACACCCGCATGGGAATCTGCAGCGAGGCCGCGTCGGGCGCGGGCGTGACTGGGCACTTGGCGGCTCTGGCGGCTCTGTTCTTTTCGGCCATTGAGGCCTGGACTCTGAGGGGCTGTCCTTTGAAGGAAATGCCGTTGAGCGCCATGGCTTTGATGACGGCTTCCTGGGTGTAGAACTCGACGTAGGCGACCCCCTTGGAAACGCCCGAGCGCTGGTCTCGGATTTGTTGAATATCGCGGATTTTGCCGGCATTTGCGGAAAAGAATTCGTAAATGTGCCTTTCATCGGCTTTTAGCGACAAGTTCAGCACCAGCACCGTGAGATCGTCGCGCCGCGCCTCCTCCACCTCCTTGCGGCGCAGCTCTTCCTCCCGCTGTCGGCGCAGCAGCTCCTCGCGGGGCCCCAGCCGGGTGGCGCCGCTGCCCGCGGCGGCGCCCTCGCCGGAGGCCCCCGCAGCCGCGGCGCCGCCGGGGCCCCCGGGGGCACCCCCGGGGCCCCCCCGCTCCCGGCGGCCGGGGGAGGGGGAGCGGGCGTCGCGGCGGGGGCGGTCGCGGCTGCGGCTGCGGCGGCCCGCGGGGGGCCACCACTCGCGGTCTCTGCGGCGGAAGTCACCCCCGCGGTGGCGGCCGTAGTCGTCGCCGAAGCGGCGGAAGGGGCCCCCGGGGCCCCTGGCGCGGAACTCGCGGCCGCGGGGGCCCCTTGGCCAG